ACATTATACATGGATAAGGAGATAGTTCATCAAGAATATGTGAACATTCAAAGCAGAAGAACTCCAAAACATAAGAAATAAAAACTGGCAGAAATAGTAGGAAAATACCTGGCTCTCTAATAATGGTTGGAGACTTCAGTATAACATTTTCAATAGTGGATAGTACAAGTAGAGGGAAGATTCATAAGCAAATAAAGGACTTGAACCCTATAGAGCAGCTATACTGTAAGTTCTAGGGTTATGAATATTTGAATTGTCAATTTTTAGAGATATGAATGGATCTTGCATTATGAACATTCATAGGTGTGAACAAATCATGGAAGTACTGTACCACATAACTATATATATATGTATATACACCTTATAAAAGACTCAGTACATACACTGAGTTCAGCACAGTGGCAGGAAACAAAATGAACACTTTAACACAAAAATTAAAGTATGTTTTGATATATTAACATTGAAAAATCCAAAATTAAAGAAAATCATTTTTATAATAGTATCAAAAAATAAAATATGGAGGGATGAAAATGTAGCCCACTGATAGAGTACTTGCCAGAGTGCACAAGGCCATAGATTTGATTCCCGATATAGCATTTACAAAATAAAATACTTCCTTTCTTTTCCTCTCTCCCTCCCTCCTCTTTCTTCTGAACAATTTCTATTTCATAAAAGAAAACAAATGTCAAAAGAAGGATAAAATGGAGAGAAAACTTTGTAAATAAGCCTGGGAAAGGGATTGAAGAGAAGGGAGGGAATTTGAAAAAATGGAGGGACAGAATATATCAAGTACACCTGCAAATTCCCTGTGATGAGAGTGATCATTATATATATACTTATATATATTTATATATATATAGTACCAATAAATTTAATAGAAAAAACAGATCCAAGAAGATATCTCATTTATATAAACAAATATTTCCTATTAAGATGTGTTGTAATTTGAAACAAAATTAAAATAATTATAAATAAAATTTAACCAATATGATAAAAGACTTATGCACTGAAAAATAAGACAGTCACTAAAAAAATAGATACAAATAGTGGAAAGACACTGAAAAGAGTTAATATCAATACAACAATAGTACTGAAGCCAATAATTTAATGCAATATACTAACACTCCCCCCATCTCTTTTTTTGGCGGAAATAGAAAATTCAGTCCTTTAACATAGAATCCCAAAGAATCGTAAAATCCCAAGGATTCTTAAATAGCCAAAATAACCTTTTTAAAGTTTCTTTTCTTTTGGTACATTCTTGTGAGAAGCATAATGATTACACTCATCTTGAACAATTGGCACATATGCATATCTCATCATAAAGAATTTTGCTTCTTTTTTCCCCACTGCTCTCTCATTTTCCACCATTCTCAGTTCCTCTTCCCATCTCTACAAAATCTAGCTCCTTATTTCCTATCCATCTCTCCTTTATTTGGTTCCTCACATTATTTTGTGTTTCTCGTATAAGAGAAACCATGTAATATTTAATATACTGTGTCTGATTTATTTTACTTATTGTTTTGCTTTCAAGAAGCATTCATTTTCCTACAGGAATCAAATTTACCCTTGTTTATGGCTGAAAGCTCTCCATTGTGTATCTATGCCACATTTTCTTTGTCCATTCATCTATTATATAGGCTGCTTCCAACCTATAGTTATTGTAAGTTAAGCTACTGCATCATGATGACTTTAACTTTTCTAGAAGATTCTCGCTCAATCTCTTAGTCAACTTTCCTTTTACAAAAATAGAAAAAACTGTCTCCCCTCTATTATCTGACTTGTATTTTCCTCTTTATTATGTTTTGAAGTTTTCATATAAGAGAAACCATATGCTACCTCAGCCTGTGTGTGTGATTTACTTAACTTAATATTATGGTCTCAAGGTACATTCTTTTTCCTACATATGATCCAAATCTATTCGTTATGGCAGAGTAGTACCCCATTATGTACAAGTACCACATTTTCTTTATTCATTCATCTGGTGGACCATAATGGTGTTTCCAAGATTTAGCTGTTAGGAGTTGTGGTGCAGTAAATATAGGTATGCATATATCACTGTTATATAATTTCTTTAACTTTTTCTGAATGTACCTATGGGAAATAGATGGGTCAATAGAAATGTCTAGTTTTAGTTTTGAGAAATCTCCATAGCAATTTCCATAGTGATCATACTACCCTACATTCTCACCAACAATGTAGAAGTGTTTCTTTCTCCTCACAGCCTCACCAGTATTTGTTATTATTTGATTTCTTGATGATAGCCATCTTTTCTAGAGGAAAATGGAATCTAAGTGTTGTTTTCATTTGCATTTTTGTAATGGCCAAAAATTATCTGGCAAAACATTTTTGCCCATTCTATACATACAGACAACTAATATCTAAATTACAAAAAGAAATGTAAAAAAAATCAAACCTCCAAAATAAAGTGTCCAATAAAAATGAATAGATAGTTCTCAAAATAAGGAATATAAATGGACAATAATTAGATGAGAAAACATTTTGTATCTCTTACCATTAGAAAAATGAAAGTGAAAATAACACATAGATTCCATTTTCCTCTAGAAATCATAAGAAAATCATATTTGTTTGAGACATTTCTAGGTAAATGGATGCTCCTTAAGACCATATTCTTTAAGTGAAATAAATCAGACACACATTGTAACATCACATTGTCTCCCTGGTGTAAGAAACTAAAAGAGTAAATAAGGTCCAAAATTACAACAGATATTGTAAAACAGGAAGAAATTTTTCAAAAGGAAAGAGGAACTAAGAAGGGAGAAGGAGCAAATGAAGGAAGGGAAAAGGGGGGAAAAGGCTAAAAATAAGAATAAAGTAGAAACAAAGCTTTGGATACAGGGAGGGGAAGAGGGTTGAAAGGAGGGGAGGGTATTAGAACAAAAAGAAGAATCAAAATATATCATGTACAGATATAAATTCTCTATGATTTTTCTTTTTATCAGTACCAGGGATCGAACTCAGGACCGCCTGCTTGCAAGGCAGGTGCTTATGCAGCTGAGCTAAATCCCCAGCCCCATATTAATATCTATGATTAATATGATCTTTATGTGTATCTAAGTTGTACCAATAAACTTAATTTTAGAAAAAGAAAATTATATTTCCATGGACGCGTCAAAAATTCAAGTGTTGCTTCAAAGGGCTTCTTTAACTTAGCAAAACTGAAAATAATTTTTTAAACCTTATACTTTCCTGTTAGTATAATTTTTCTAAGAAAACAAAATTCATTTTATAATACTTTACTATTTTATAACATTTATTTATAGCCTTTTTGTTGGAAAATTTTTACTTGTGTACTCCTGTTCAATTCAGTTCAGAGTAGTTGGCATCCCGGACTAAGGATTAAATGCCTGTACCATACTTCATATATTGTAATAACCACAAAATGCCCCTGTATATTTCTGCATACCCCAAAGGGCCACTCTTTCCACTGATTGAAAATGAAATGATGCCATAAAAACACAATATATACTACTGATTTTACACACTTCTGTTTTTAAAATGAGATATATTTAAATTATCTCAAAAATACACTGATTTTACACACTTCTGTTTTTAAAATGAGATATATTTAAGTTATCTCATATGTTATCGATGTATTTTTCCATTTCATTGAGGAACAGCAGGCATACTCTATTCCTAGTATTGTTGTAAAGAGCACAATTTGATGAGCTATTTTTCCATATATATATATGTATATATATATATATATATATATATATATATATGTATGTATAGGTATATATTGATAGATGATAGATAGATGAATAGATATTCATATTCACCATTCACATTAAGATTTTAAACAGTTTTAGCCCCTTGGAAATCTCCATTTTACCTCTTTCCAATTAACCTCTCAGAGGTAATCACTAATCTGAACTGCTATCCAACATAGATTAGTTTGGACTATTTTTAATCTCATGACAAAGGAATTATATTTGCTCTATTCTGTGCAAACCTTTGAATGTAGTATTTTTTGGATTTGTACATATTGGTGCATGTTTCATAAGTTTTTCCTTTTTATTGCTAAAAGACACTTGCATTGCTACAAATTTCCTCTCGTGATTATAATTTCTATAAGCATTATTTTTTTGGTACCAGGGATTGAACTCATGACCACCTGCTTGCCAGGCAGGTGCTGTGCTTCTGAGCTATATCCCCAGCCCTTGTACATGACTTTGGATATATATTTTTTTCTGGGTTATATAGTTATGAAAAAAATTGCTGGGTCATTGTTCAGACAAATTTTTAGCTTAAGTAGATAATGTCAAATTTTCCAAATTGATTGCATGACTGTATGCTTCCACCAAAATCTTCTATCAAACTGTAAATTGAATAAGAGAAAAGTAAAACCACAAACTGGTACTAAAAACCTTTTGGCATATCTTTTGTAAGACTGAGTATAGCACTAAAATGGTAACAGACTCCATACCAGACTAAAAGCTTCTCAAATACATAGTGAAAAAACTTAAATTTCTACTTATTTTCTACATGCAAATAGGAAATATCATAAGCAAACTTATACATCTTCTCTAAAAGTATCCTCAGTGTCACCTGTAAAAAATAACTTATAATTTAATAAGCATGTTTAGTCATCAACAAGATCCTGGTAGCAGTATGTCATACATCTGTCTGCAACATTCATGTTATAATGCAATGGAAAGAGAACAAGTCTTGGAGTCAGGTGAATTGCATGTGTTGCTAAGCTTTGCTACTTATTGTTTAAGGGAGTATAAACTTGGATAAGACATTTTCTCTAATTTTTGTTTTATTCAGAAAATAATACAACATATTTTACAGAGTAATGAATACTGAGATAGAATTTAGAGAGGATAATTGAGATAATTAGCCAGATAACGTTATAAGATAAATTGGTATCTGGGCTATGAGGGTTGGTAAGAAATATTTTCATTTAACTAGTTATTCTTTTCAATCTTTTCTGAGAACTGTGGAAAGTAAAGTGTTGCCATCACTTCTGCTTCCAGTTCCACTTGTCCTATACGGACAAAGAGCGCTATGAAAACGAAGAGAGACCTGAGGTCCAGAAGCAGATTCTCATTGATATGGCCAAGAAGCTACCAGTTTACACAAGAACCGGGAGCGGAGGTCAGTTCATCCAAAATCAGCTTGGAAGGGAAGTTTAGCAAAGAACTCAGAAAGAGTAAGTCATATATATTGCCAGGGTATCCAATGTTTTTGCTCATTTTTTGAAAACCATTATGAGATCTTTCTCAACACTTTATTATAAAACATTTTTAAACATAGATCAAAGTTGGAAGAATTATGAATACCTGAAATACCCAACACTGGATTTTACAACTATTATTTTGCTTCATCTTATATGTGCTTACGTGTGTGCTTCATCATGTATCTTTCCATCTAACCATCTCTTTTTTCATCTTCACTGAAGCCATCTTTATTTTTCTGATGCATTTAAAGTAAAAAGCAGATATTAATTCATATTCATCTCAATATTTTGTCTTTATTTGGGGGGCAACATTTCCATACAAAATATGCTCAAATCTTAACTGTACAAAATTCCATGTATTTTGAAAAATATAAGTACCTGTAAGCCATAAAACCATTCCCATCACACCAGAAAATTCTGTCATGCCTTTTCCAGTCAATTCTCCTGCACAAATAACTACTGTTTTGACAGTTTTTCACTGTAGATTAGTTTTGCTTTCTATAGAATTTCATATAATGGGAACCTTACGATATATACTCTTGTGTCAGTCTTCTTTATTTCAGCACAAAATTTTTGAGATTCATCCATATCATTGTGCATTTCATTCCTTTTATTTCAGAGTAGTATCATATTATTATATTATATTAATATACTACACTTTGTTTATACATTCACTGGTTGATACATATAAAAGTTGTTTCCAGCACTTATCTGGTATGTCGATCTACTATGAACATGCCAGTACAAATATATATGCAGAAATACATTTTAATTTTTCTTGGGTAAAATATCCACTAAAGAATTTTACTCTTAGATTGTCTTCATATAGAATAGTACTTAATGAACTAATTTTCTACCTTTTAAAATTGGAAAACCAAGACTCTTCTAACAAATCATCCTAAAATTGCTCATGCGAAAATTGTTTCAAGCCTTTGGAAAGTATACTGTCAGATATTTATACTCACTTATTCATCATGTATTTGACAAATATTTGTGGATACCATATGAAAATTGGGAAAATTTTAATGTTGAGTGGAAATTTCATAATATTAATGACATTATTATTTTCAGAACAGTAAAATAGTAGTTATAATTTTTAAAACATCTTCATATAAATGATCAAGTAAAAGCCATTGGAAGAAGTAGATACAAAATGGCACAATGTTAATAAATGTTGAGGATAGATGATGTTACAGGAATTTTCACTATACTGAGACTTTTAGTGTATGTTTGAAAACTCCATTAATACTAACTTCTTATAGTGAATAATGTGTGTGAGGCACTACTGCAAGCACTGGGAATACGGAGTTGAAGAGACAAACAAGGTCTCTTACAGAGATTAAATTCTGATTTAAAAAAAGACAAATAGGAATTTATATAATTTCAGACAGTAGAATAATTTGATGCATTATGTGGTAAATTGGGTTCAGAGATAAATTTCTTTTGATATATCATCGTCTTTTAGTAACATAAAATAATTATATGCATTTATAAAATACAGTATAATAGTTCATATATTCCATGCATCTATTCAATGTGTACTATCAAATGAGTGATTATCATTTCAGTTTCCTTAAACATTTATCACGTTTGTGTGTTTGTGTATGTGTCTGTCTGTGTGTGTACATGTTAGGAATCTTCAAACTCCTCTCTTGGTTCTTCACAAAATATATAATAATTTTTTTAAAATATGGTCATGTGCTGTGTTATAAGTACTAGAACTTATTCCTCCTATGTAACTTAATTTTATCCAACTTCCGTCTCTCTCCATTATAGTTCCTGATCACTATTCTACTTTCCATTTCTATGAAATCATCATTTTTTAACTTTCACATATAAATGTGTCATACTCCTCTTTCCATGCATAGTTTAGGTGACTTAACTTAGTGATCTCTGTATCACTCAGGTTGTTGCAAATGAGAAGATTTAATACTTTTTAATGAATGAATAGTATCCCACTGTGTATATATACCACTTTTATTTATCTAATTTGCTTTTTTATTTATTTATTCATTTTAAAAACAATGAAACAAAAACAATGATACAAAATTTCAAAACAAGATAATAGGAAATTAACAATGGTTAATATATTGCATACTGTTATCTTTAGAGTAGTTGTTCAGATTACAACACATAGGAATATAAAATTGATCAAATTGTATAAATGCAAATCATTCTTTTTAATGAACTAAAAAAATAATAGTTTGAATATATATATTTATTTTTTCTCTAAAAACTTCATTTGTTACTAATTTTAACAATTACAGTATTTCTATATTAAAAAGTAGAGATTTCTGACTTCTCCTGAAACCCCCAAAATTTGGCAACAATGTACATTTCCATGTGACAAAATTAGCTGGAACTAAGTAATGACAGCCATCTTTAAAAAGAGCATGAACTGTCAGATTCTACGCCATCCTCCAATGACTGCTTAATTTTTTGTTCACTATTTCCCAAACCCTTGAGGCAATTGTTTGCAGCCTCCATGACAGAGAAAAGTAGCTGATCATTTTCCTGAGTGACAAAAAGGAGCTAACCAGAGTTCTCCAGAGAAACAGAGGCAATAGAATGTGTGTGTGGCTTATATAACTTGCTGTGAGAAAATGACTTGCACATTTATGAAAGCTGAGAATTTCCATGATCTACCATGTGAAGGCTGGAGAACCGGAAAAAAGCTAGTAGCTCCAGTTTGAAGATAAAAATCTGACCTCCAGGTGTGCTGATGTCTAGTCTGAGACCATGAAAGACCGGTATCACAGCTTATGTGGTCAGACAGACATGGCAAATTATCCCTTACTTTGCATTTTTGATTCAGGTCCTAAAAGGATTGGAGAATCCCCACTCATATTGGAGAGGACAATCTGCTTTATTCAGTCTACTGATTCAAATGTCAGTCTCACATTAGAAACACCCTTAAGAGACATCCACAAATAATATTTATTCAAATATCTAGGTACCTATGATCCAGTTAAATTGACACATACAATGAACCATCACAAATCCACCACTTATCAACTTGGCACTCACATACATGGTTTTAAACTATATGCAATCTCCAGTGAAACAATAACAAGAGCTGAGGATTGCAGTTCAATGATAGAGTGCTGCCTAGCACCAAAAAGAAGAAAGCATTCAGTGAGATACCCCTACATACCTATTCATGAAACAAAATCACAGTAGTAAATCCTTCCCTAGAAATTAAACTCCCAGGTAAAACTACATACAATAAAAAGATAAATATGTAGCTCAATGATAAAGTCTTTGCTTAACATGCAGTGTTAGATCCTAGGTTAAATCCAAAATATTGCCACAGAAATTTTCTGTAACCTGTTACAACTATCCTGTGCGCAACCCACTTCCTAAAGGGGAAACAAACCCCTTCAGTGATGTTTACAAAATTTCCCCTGGATATCTTGTAATTTAAATACCATTTAGATACCATGGTATAGAATTAATAATACACTATGATGTAAAATCAATACATTTTATGTTGCATGATAAAGGAGTAAGGGAAGAAAACAAAGATTTCAGATATATAGAGACACATATAAGAAAATAAGGAGGAAATATCCATGACAATTACAGACATCATTTTTATAATGGGTCGCATGTTCATGGCTGATATTGATAACTACTTTCTTCCACTATCCTTTCTGTATTTGTCTTCAACAAGTAACCCAATTGGTCATCATTCTTTACTTCTTAATTCCTGAAAAGTCTATAACATTAATAGTCCCACCTGAATTTGGTTGTATTATTTTTCCATTCATCTGATCACAGGACATGGCAATATTAATAAATGTCCTAAGACAGTTCCTGTTTTCCAGACTTACTCTTCCTTACCTACATTGTGGAGTAGTAGTGCAGTATTCCCTTGATATTCAGGATCAGTCATCCTAGTCATAATTGCAAATACCTTTTTGATCTGTTGATTTAGAGGCATGAGGAGCCCTAAAATGACTGTGACAGGTCAATGAAATGATTTCTGAGTCTCTCAGTAGAAATATTTCCTTCTATATCTAAGGTCTTTAGGCCAACAAGAATAAATCAAAGGAACAGGTAGTAAGAATTTGCCTGTGGTTGACAAAGCAAAACGATGAATAGTACTATTTCCTTTTCTACCCCTTAATTGCTAGATTAATGAATCCTGGCACTCAGAGAAATAGTATCTTATAGTGAATGCTAATTTGAAGTATAGTTAATCTTCTAGAGATCTTTGCCCTGTCTCTTCTCTACAATCTACTTAAGCCTGTAACTGACTCTTCAGAATATCATGCCACCATTCTGTCAAGCCAACTGCTTCAGAATGGTAGAAATCTTGGCAAAACTAATAAATTATGTGAATATGACCTCATTGCTTACTTTTATTTTTAATGAGGGGTTTGTTCCTTGATCAGAAGCAATGCTGTATAGAATAACATGATGGCAGGCAAATCATTCTTTAAATTTACACTGGTATTTGGGCCAGAAATATTGCATGCTAGCCAGGGAACATCCAGAACCAAGCCACTCCCTGTGAGTCAGTGTCATTCATGGACCAAGGGGAAAGAGAACAAACCTACACCAGCACACAAGCTCAGTCTGGAAGCCAGCACCATGTGCAGGCCACCACTAGATGAGGAACAGAGGAACAAACCTCTCCCTGTGAGTCAGTGCCATTCATGGACCAGGAAGGAAGAGAACAGGGCCACACCAGCAAACAAGCCCTGGGAACCAGCACCTTGTATGGGCTACCACTGGACCAGGAACAGCCAGACCCAGGCCTTTCCCCATGAGTCAGTGCCATTCAGGGACTGGGGTAGAGAGAACAAGGACACACCAGCAAGTGAGCCCAGTCTGTGAATCAATACCACACACAGATCACTGCCAGACTGGAACAGCCAGACCCAAGCCTCTCCCTATGAGTCAGTGCCATTCG